GTTAGCGTCAGGGTCCTGGTTAGGGTTATGGGTAGGGTTAGGTTAGGGTTAGGGTTTAGGGTTAGGGTTAAGGTTAGGTTAGGGTTAGGGTGCTAACATACTATTGGTTTACAACGGACTTCAGAGGGGAGATGTTTATTGAGAGGCTACAACCCTAACCCTAACTCTTACCCTAACCCTACTCCTAGGCTACAACCCTAAACCCTAAACCTTACCCTAAACCCTAACCCTATGGACGAGTTTCTATACCATATGCATTATGAATTCAGAACCTCTGAGCCTTTACCAAACCTTAAAAAGTTTTTAAATCATGTAAAAGAAGAATATCCACTGTAATTCATTACTTTCTTATAATATATTTTCACTTTATACTGTCTTCTGATTGGCTAATAATTGTCAAGGTCATTTAAGATTCGTTCAAAGGTCGTCCCTAAATTAGAGTCTCGCCAATATTATTTATATAATAGTAAGTTTTATTCCACTGATATAAACATTGAACCATTTGCTGAAAACATTCAACTTCATTTAAGTGTTAAAAAGAATGATCCATGCATATCGTAATGACAATTCTAAAATAACCAGCAATAAACTAATATCATTTCAGTGTTCTTTTAATTTGGATGATTAAGATTAAATCATTTGACAGTTTTTTTTAAATTAATCAATAATCATTACATAATTAATAATCGAAAACTTTACTCTCTTTGTTCTATCAAATAATTTTGATTTTCTTATTTTGTTAATAATTTTTAAAGATTTATTTTCTACAAAAAGAAACTTAATTACTGGTCATAAATTCAGATGGGACATAAGTTTATAAGCAAAGACGGACAGTGGCTGGCAGTGAAATCCAGGACGCTCTTCGTCCTATTGGGGATAACGCGATGGCGTTCGAAGCGAACGGTATTGGGTTCGAGTCCTAGAGTGAACATCAACTCTGAGATGTAGGTACATCCATGTAGTACTTCCAGGTGTCTAGTCGGAGTCATTTACAGGAAGCCAACTGCCGACACCGAGTACGATAGTCGTATGCTGGAAGGACTATCCCGCTCTATCCGTCTCGGTTTCACACACATCCTGATTCTAGGGGACTTTAATCTCCCTAGAGTCAACTTCGCGGAACACACGTACACTGGAGGCGACAACTCAACTGAAGCTCGGTTCTTCAACCTCATCGATAACTTGGGCTTATATGAAAATGTGAGGTCGGCAACTCGTTGGAGAAACAGTCGGACACCATCGCGCTTAGACTGTGTATTCACTAACGAAGAATTCCTAGTCGACAACCTCTCAATCCTGGCTCCTCTGGGAAAAAGCGATCATGCCGTCATAGCCTTCAGTTTTGTCATCAAAACTAAGCTAAGGTATCCCAACAATAATTTGCGATGGAATTTTAAACGGCTGAATGTGCGAGCTCTACATGGCCATCTACAACAGGTGGTTTGGGATGTTCACCCTCAAATCGATGTGGATGGTCATTGGGACTTCTTGCTGCACACGCTCTTATGTGCTACAGACCATTCAGTTCCTCAAACGGTTCCCAAAAGCTTCAAGCCACCTACAGTAATCAAGAACCGTACCCTTCGCCTCCTAAGCCGCAAACGGCACTGTTGGGCAGAATACAAACGAACTAATAACGATGGAGCGTATAGGCAATACAAACATATCAGGAACACATGCACGAAGGCTATAAGAGAAGACAGGCTTCAGTACCAAACAAAGCTTATGGACAAATTCGCCTCTAACCCTAGAAGCCTATTCCGTTATGCAGCCTCTCTTCGTCAAGCCAAAACAGGAGTTTCTCAACTGCTAGGTCCTAACGGCCCGACCAACAACGATGGCGACGCCGCTAACCTTCTGGCGGCCCATTACTCTCAAACATTTCAACCGGCTGATATCAACTTTATTGACGACAGTTTCATCTGCAATTCCACAGGACTTTCTGAAGTGGACCTAAGCGCTGACTTGGTGTTCCGGAAACTGCAGCACTTAAGACTTGACACTTCTCCTGGCCCGGATATGGTTCATCCTGCCATACTGAGGGAGGCAGCCTCAATCCTGGCAACGCCGCTTAGCGTGATGTTTTCACACTCGCTTAGCCGAGGCAAACTACCGGAAAATTGGAAGTTGGCTCACATCACACCAATTTTCAAAGGTGGTCGACGCAATGAACCTTCAAGTTACCGGCCGGTAGCTCTTCTGTCGTTACCTTCAAAACTCATGGAGTCCCTGATATGCGACGGTTTAAATGACTACCTACTGTCCTTAAATTTCTTCTCACCCCAACAGCATGGTTTCAGGAAGGGTTACTCTTGTATAACCAACCTGCTGACTGCGGTGGACAGATGGACAAGCATCCTCGATCGCAAGGGAAAGGTTGATGTCATTTACCTTGATTTCTCAAAAGCTTTTGATAAGGTTAACCACTTGTGTCTTATCAACAAGCTCAAACGACTAGGTATCAAACCACCTCTAATCGACTGGCTTACTTCATACCTAAAAAATCTACACTTTAAGGTTAGGGTTAATTTCACTTTATCTCAAGCTATGGAATGTCCTAGTGGGGTCCCCCAGGGCTCAGTACTAGGGCCTCTTCTCTTCTTGATCTACATAAATGATCTTCCTCAACAGGTAACGTCAGACTTATTACTTTTTGCCGACGACGTGAAACTTTGGGGAGAGATACGCAACCAAGACGATATACAGGCACTTCAAGAGGATCTGACTCGACTTCAAAGTTGGGCAGACGATAACGGACTTACCTTTAACACTTCTAAGTGTAAAGTAGTCCATCTGCGACATGTCGCAAACTACAGTTACAACTTAGGAAACTCCTCTCTAGTAGTATCCCAAGTCGAAAAAGATTTAGGAGTCCTGGTGCCCCATGACTTAAAGTCTTACGCTAATTGTGACAAAAATGCCTTCCGAGCAAACCTTGCACTGGTAACGTTGAGGCGCATTTTTGGTCAGTTTGACGGAAGAACTTTCCACACAATCTTCAATAGTTTCATCCGTCCCCATTTAGAGTACGGAAACATAGTACTCCCCCCCTCACTCCAAAAGGATAAGGTCACTTTGGAGCGTATCCAACGGCGAGCCACGAAATCAGTTCGAGGACTCAAATCTAAGCCTTACGAAGAACGCCTCCGTTCACTAGACCTTTACCCACTAGAATATAGGCGTCTTAGAGGTGATTTATTAATGGCTTATAGTATTCTTAACACTTCTGGACATCCTCTTAAACACCTACTTAAGCTTAGTTCGAACAATAACCTAAGGGGTAACACCCAGAAACTGGAAACACAACATAGCAAGACGGAATGTAGACACAACTTCTACTCCTTAAGAGTTGTCAAAAGCTGGAACTCGCTGCCGGCCGAGCTAGTCCAAGCGACTTCTCAGGAGTCCTTCAAGAGGCAACTTGACCTATTCTTAAGGACCAAGGACAGCATCGCACTATGATTTACCAATTTCTTTTCCTCTTTTATTGTTAACATACCTAGGTTCCTGCCTGGAGGATTTGGTGATCCCCTGCTACTAGACACGGAAGCCTGTTAAGCGAAAGCTTCTTCTATTCCGTCCACAACCATTTGAACCATTTGAACCATTTGAATATGAGTCCAAAATGGGACAGAAAATGCGTCGTGGATTCTACTGCTATCCATTATCCATCTTTGCTTATAATGCTTATGGATTAAGGCAACATCGAGGCAATACGCACAGTATGCATATATGTAAATAATAGACTGTTCAATTGCAGTTCTCAACGTCAATGGAAAGATTTAAGTAAATAATACCAAGTGAATTGCAACATAAGTTGTCTTTTTTTTCTTATGTTTGTATTCGTTAAAAAATATTTATAAAATTTTAGTTACATCACTCGGTAATTTTTATTAACACAGCTACCGATTATATAATCCAAACATGGACTCATATGATTTAGTAATGACTCAGAGTATGGTAAAATGTAATATTATCAAGCGTATACAAAACTGACTAATTGTTGTAAAGTATACTGGAAGACGAAAAAATCACCTCTGGAGATAAACTTCATGAGAACAATTATATTTTAAAATGATTGTTCAGTGTGACCAAATGCACACATTTTGTTCGCACAAAAAATTATTGAATTGGTTGTAAATTTATTGGCTGAATTCAAAGGAACCTGTCTATTATTTATCGAATGCTATATTTATATTACTTTTGAACTTAATCAAAAGACTGTCTAAGTAGTTTGAGTTGTTTAGGATGATAAATTATATCAATGCATAACGAGTAGAAGTCTCGATAGTAGTGTTATGACTCTAAAACAGATAAAGTTACACAAATTTTACACATATGTTGTAAACGTCAATTTTAATTTACAAAACACATGGTAACTAACCTTTAAAAAAAGATTAACTACAGAACTTTATTCAAACTAGTATAAACAGACATACAGTTAGATACTGTTTAGTTAGTTAATAATGAAGAAGCAGAATTACTATTTTAAACTAAATAAACACCAAACTGAATCCTCGAAGCCGTATACATTAAAATTCTAATTACAATATCTATAAGATATTCAAATAATTTGTATGGAAATTTCAAAGTTAAACTTGTAACTTTACTTCTATCCATAGACAGAAACATATCTTAAAACCATAAAAACTATTAGTCATTATCTTATTAATGACAGTTGAGTGAAACGTCATTATTCAACCTTGATACTTTTACATATTACTCGTTTATCCATATTTTTTGAAAATTAACATGAAAAGTACTATAAAGGAAAATAGATTCAAGTAAAATAAACGGACATATTCTTTTTACACCTTAACTGGCATGTGTAACTTTCACATCAATAATTTTACTTTACATGGTTAACATAAGGGACTTATGAAAGCTCATATGTTATACAGAGTTAAAATTAGAATAATTATTCAGAAAGTTGTTTTTTTATTTTTTTTATCGAAAGTTGAACAGTTTAAATCTCATGATGAAAATTTAACTGTCAGTTGTCAGTTGGCCATTGAATCATTTATTCTAGTAGACGCAATATGTTCTACATAAAACTTGGCAGAAAAAAAGACAAAAACACCATAGAAATATTGCACTTCAATAACTGTAAAATGTTATTTAATAACAATAGTAACAATGAATTAGACATGGACTGAAGTAAAACTAGTCACTGAAGTGACACAATATGATATATATATCGTACAACATGTAATAATCTGAAACGAACAGAACATATAAATTTTAAGGTAATATAAACAGGAAATTTATAGATTAAGCTCAGTCGTTAAATAATTACTAAAGAAAACTTACCTTGAAGTCCATTATAATTTCTAATCAATTCAACAACTGAATAATTATTATAGTATGTCTTATCCATTGAATTTGTATACGAACTAGACGAAATATCATCGTCATCATCATCATTATCATTCGTTGAAATATTGGATAAATTGTAAATTTTATCAGTTCTCATAGTAAATACCTAAAAACAAATTATATATTTTAGTATATGATAGAACAACGAAATTAAACCACTATATGCGAAAAGGAAACGTTAGAATTATTTAAATTTCAATCACTGAGATTATTTCAAATACATATATATGACGTCCAATTTTTGTCAAACCATTCATTGTAATATTGACGGATATGAGTATAAATGAAATCAAATACATTTAATCAATACTTGAACATGATACTTGTTTGAATTAAGAAGGAACGAATAGAGAGAAGAAATTTCTTTTCAATTAGTTATTCATCATAGCTCTAAACTAATATATATATATATATATATATATATTAGTGTAGAGTCATGATGAAAAACTAATTGAATAGAAATTTCTTCGCTCAATTCATTCCTTCGTTGATTTAACAAATGTCAAAATAGGAATTTTCACTATATTGTTTGAATTAGTTAATAAATGTTATATAAAATTAACTGACTTTTCTTTTAAATACTTCAATTTAAATTTTCATGACAATTAAACTCATAAAAGTAGACTAAATATGAAATTTTCTTTCAAAATGATTAACCTTAACAATAGTTACAAGAATGAAACGGAATAAAGGGAGTTGTAGAATAATTACTGACATCTATTATTTATATTATAAATTGAGGTATTTTTAAAAAAAATTCATTAATCCAGTGATTATTACATTGATTTTTGAAATAATGGTTGTTGGATTTCAATAAATACACTTTTTGTATCGCAAAATAAAACCATAGATTACTGGATATAGCTATAAAAAATAGTCATGAAGATAGTCTGAGACTGTATCAAAACATTCAGACAAGGAGATAATTAAACCCAGAAGTTTCATCCGCTGAATTATTAATCAGAAGTCCAAAGATATCATACTAGTTTTAATACATATAATTTTTTGATCTGATTCTATATGAAATTACACATATCCACGGCTGAGTAATGTCAGAAAAAAATCAAAATAATACTATAGTAATTGTTAGTATTCAATTACTAAGAGAAAGAATCAAGGTAAAGTGGAAACCTGAATCACCCGATTGTTTGCTGCTTACTTATGTATGTGTACATTCGTATGGAGGATATTAATAGAATATCTCACATTAGCAGTTTGTTGACCATATATAAATAATTATGAAGGTTTGTATATTTTTCATTTTGATTTTCAAAACTAAATTCAAAGAATCGCTGAGTACTGACCACTCGAACGAGGACCTGAATGCTTACTTATTTACGCTTGTTACCTCTCATGGAGAAACATAAGCCTCCCACCAGCATTCTCCATTCACCTCTGTCCTGGACAATACTTTCTAGAGGTTTTTACTTGCTAATAATCTTTCTGATGTCTGCTTCCAATTCTTGATGCACTGTGTGCTTTGGTCTTCCTCTTTTTCTTTTCCCTTCAGGATTCCAAGTTAGCACTTGCCTCATGATGCAGTTTGATGATTTCCATAATGTATATCCAACCACAAACTCCAACGTCTTTTCCTAATTCCTCCTCCGATGGAAGCTAGTTTATTCTCTCCCACAGTAGGCTGTTACTGATGGTATCTAGCCAACAGATATTCAGTATCTTGCGAAGGTAGTTGTTTATCAATACTTGTAAATATTTGATGATGGTTGTGGTAATTCTCCAAGTTTCAGCTGCGTATAGTAGAACTGTCTTGAAGTTCGCATTGAAAATTCTGACTTTGATGTTGGTTGACAGACAGTTGATCTGAGTTCCACATATTCCTCAACTGTAGGAAATGCGACCCTTGCTTTGCCAGTCCTCACCTTTACGTCTGCATCCGATCTTAAAACATTCATCGATGATGCTGTTCAGATAGGTACGTAAAAGATTCCACTTGTTTCAGAGTTTCCCCAAAAAGTGTGATTAGGTTGGTGTTCTTTGTAATGTATGTGAGGATTTTTCTTTTCCCTTTTGTGTATGTTGAGGCCTATTCATGCAGAGGCTTCTGATACATTAGTTGTCTTGACCCCCATTTGTTTGTGTGTATGGGATAGAACAGTTATGTCATCTACAAAGTCCAAATCGTTCATTTGCATCCAAGCTGTCCATTGAATACTGTGCTTCCTCTCAGATATCGAAGTCTTCATAATCTAGCCGAATACCAAAAAAAGAGAAAAGGAAAGAGTAGGCAGCCTTGTCTGGCTCAGATCGTTACTTGAAATATGTCGGTCAGATGTCATTCATGCACTGCTTTGCAGTGTGGCCCGCCGTATGGATTCCGGATGATGTTGACTATTTTCTCAGGTACACCATAGTATCGAAGAAGATTCCACAATGGTCTATTCACGCTTTCTAATGCTTTCTCATAATCAAGGAAGTTGCTGTATAGTGACGTATTCCACTCAATTGATTGTTCAACGATGATCAGTAATGTCACAATTTGGTTTGTGTACAACCAATCCTTATGGAACCCGCCTTGTTGATCTGGAAGCTGGATGTCCACTGAGTCTTTCATCCGGTTCAGTGACACTCTGTTGAAAACTTTTCCTGGTACCAATAGTAGTGTGATGCCTATACATGTGAGTACTCACAATTGCTCAGATCCCTTTTTTGGTATCTTGATAAAATATCCTTATTTTCAGTCTGTCAGTGGCACTTGTTCTTTCTCCCGAATTTACCTGAATAGAACTTGGAGCATATTTGCAGTTACTTTAATGTCTGACCTTGGTACTTTGGCTGGTATATTGTCAGGCTCCCATTGAAGGTTTAGTAATTTTTTATGGTAATGATTACTAGTCAAATCAAGAATGAATATTTTACTCAGAACTCTTCATATAGGTATTTGATCAACTCAGTAAATATCACTTTCATTTTCAAAGCGATTAGTAGTGTAATCAGAGTTGACATGAACACTATGATATCGACATAAGTTACTGATAAATTTCAACCAACGTAACTTATATCTCAAATTTCACTATAGGATGATAATATTCAGAATACAATCATTTTTTTATGTTTCTAAATTCACCATAAATATTGTCACGCTAACTGACATTTATCTTACAAGACTGGGAGGCATTAATTTAAGAACAATTTATAAACTGTAGTATTCCATTAATCATTTCCAAACTGAATATTTATTACAGTAGTGAATCTTATTTTTTTGTAAAATTTCTAATTTGTTAAGAATGTTCTTAACAAAAGAATAGTGGATGCGCACTGCTGAGAAGTTCCATACTAGGACGATACAGCCATTCAGTGCTTCCAAGTTTTCTGTGGTGGTCTAAATTCAATTGACTCATGAATTCAACGATAAAATTACTAAGATCTTCACAAAACCCCTTCTGATAAAAAGAATAAAACCCAAATATCTATGATTTACACATATTACTAAGGTTTTAAAATAAACAAATAAATGAACAAAAAATATTCTTTTAAGTGAATCTCATATTAGATGTTTTATGCATTTTCTCATTTTAATAAGGTTTAGTCATTCCTTAACCGATTTATTTAAGATTAATTCTAATATTGTCAAATGAAAACTCTTTAAAAATAATCAAAGATTTACACAGAAATTTTCTATTTCACAAAGCTGCAAATAAAAATTTAAGTCAATCACCATAAAAAACATTTACAATTCTCCTTTTGTGCACTCATCCCAAGATATCCCATCCTATTTACATTCCTTAAATGTCTACAGTGAAAATTAATGAAGAATATCCTAGTCTAGTTAGTTATTTCACTCCAGTAAAAAAACAATTTCGTTTGTCTGGGAATGCTTAACGAGATTAATGTTAGCTTTGATGACAAAAACCTTAAGGTCTACATTAAAAAACTAGTCAATATCAACTAGTGTTAATGGGCTACTAAATAATTTTTGAATCTTAAATCAGATAAATTACATTGATATATTTCAACTTTGCCACATTGATCTTGGAATTACTTAAATTTTTGTTAGTAATGTTAGTTATAGAAGAAACGGTAATTATATATATACACTTCTTCTGATTCATTTTCTTTCAGATTAGTTACCACTACTCTTAATTCAATAATTTTCTGTATCTTTAAAGACCATGATTTTAACTATTTTAAGTTGTTCTACCTTTTCTGCTCAAATATCGAGTTTATAGTGTACTTTGTCTATTTTTAATGTTTATTGGTAGTTGTCAGAATGTAGTGTGCCAGCTAGTCATCGAGTTCCCAATAGAACTATTCATAATAGTATAGCTCAATTGTTCCTTACCTCGTAAGTATCATAGTTAAACCGGAAACCCCATTAGACATAAATGTTCCTATGAAGATTTAATAAATATACAATAGTATTTCACCCTATACATCATACTAATTTATATCTTTCTATTCAGGAAACGATCAGAAAAGTATTGTTTGATGCCATGTATTTAATATCTCGGTTTAAAGATTTAATTACATGTAAGTAGAATATTTTAAAAGACAACAGTTTTCAGTAAACGTAATGAAGTCTCTTAACTTATCTTTATTGAGTGACACATTATATGAAATAACTTAGGTTATATGGCTTTGTAGAGATTGAATTATTTTTTTTGAAAAATATTTCAAATATAGAATTGAATTTAGCCGGATAACTAATAGAAATAACTGTAAAAAAGTAATTGATAATGGAACAACACAATGTATCAGCTTCAAAAAGCATAATAACTGTTTTTTATCTACTTACCAAAAATATCTTTAAAGCATTCTAATGATTATTTCACTCATTTATTGATGTAAGTTAAATAAGAAAAAACTATCTTTACAGTCGAACAGATTAGTCAATAGACTACCGACGCAATTAAATTTATGTTGAATGGTTGGAAAATTTTAATATATCTCCAGATATAGGTTGTTTATTTACTGAATACGATCATTATCACTCAAAATTAAAATTCCTACAGCTATGGTTATTTAAGATAGAAACCAAGAATTAAAAATACCGGCAAATAACCTTTACTTTAACTGGTTTATATACATATGATACTCAGTACCTTAATTACCATTATTGGCTTCTGAAGCGAAAGGTAGTAAGTTCAA